GGGGATCGGGGGGGTTGGGGCCCTCTGTGGCTGAGGGGAGGCCGGGCCCGGGGGTCCCCTGTGGCTGAGGGGGGCCGGGCTCGGACACCTGGGCCCTCTGTGATGGAGAGGGGAGGGCCGGGGTCCCCTGAGAGGAGAGGCTGGGGTGAGTGGGCCCCTCTTATATGGGGGGGACGACTGGTGTGACTGGCCGCTGTTACTGGGAGGTCCGGGGTGACTGGGGACACCTGTGGGGGGCTGGTGTGAGTGGCCCCCCCTGTTACCTGGGGGGAGGTTGATGTGACTGCACCCCCAGTTATCTGGGGGGACTGGGATGACTAGAGCGCCCTGTTATTGGGAGGGCTGGTGTGACTAGAGTCCCCAGTATGCGGGGGGTCTGACGTGAGCGGGCCCCCTGCTGCATGGGGTGTGTGGGGGGGTTCCCCTCTCATGCCTGGCTCCCCAGGGGCTGTGGGGCAGCCCCCAGGTGGCAGGGTCCCCCCCGCAGAGCTGAGGGGGGGCAGCCTGGGAGAGGGGTGCTCCAGGGTGCTGTCTGGCTTCCACCATGCCAAAGCGTTGCTTATGCTTGCCCCATGCCAGGCTGTTGCTGGTTAAAAGCATTCAGTGAACTGACTTTTCTGGCACTTCTCTGCAGAAAGTTATTCCCAGCATCTGACACCTTTGCTGTATGCTGGGCTGGTTTACTGCTGTTCCACCTATTTTACTTCATAAACTTCTGGGGTGTTGGAAGGCTGTTTACTTGTGTCTTTTCCTGATGGGATTGCTTTGGAGGGTGAAGTTGCTCCCTTAGGGAGTGTGCTTGTCAAAGGAAATAATGGAAACCCCCCTGTTTGGGAATATTAAAGCTGCAGGGGGTGAAGAAACCTGGATCACAGTGTTGGGAGTTAGTCATCAGCGTGAAATTAATTCTTAGGAAGCGGTCTTACTTGCTAACCGCAGCTGGTGCGGCTTGGGGTGTGCTTTGGTCTGCCAGTGGTTAGAACATGGGTTAGCTTTCAGATCGTGAAAACAAATAGTCATGTTCAGTGGAATGTGCATAGAGAAGAGGGATCACTGAGGTTTTCTGCCTGATGAGTGAGTCTGGAAAACTGAAATGGGTTTGTACTTTTACAGCTCTCTTTAAAAAGCAGAAAGATATATACAGTTGAGAAGGATCAGGTCTCTCTTTCTGAATTCTGAATGTGAAACAGTGTTAGCATCGGTGGGGGCATCCCTTATTCCATAGTGCTTTATGCTTTGTGTGGACCGTAGTGAGGAACAGTGTGGTTCAATATTTTCTTGTTTGCCAGCAGAGCTGTGCTTAGTGGGGTACACTGATGCACACATCCCTTTTGCTAGATAGAAGGGAATGTACTTTCTTCCAGCGTTTCTGTAGTTCTCTGAGAAATCCTGTTGAGATGTTATTCACATGCCAAGCAAACTTGCTGATTAATCTGCTGCAGATGAGGAAACTGATGTTTTGTCCAGGAAGGGCTGGTGAGCCAGATCCCTTCTGATGTTGTCCCGGTACAGCTCTTGGTTTTTCTTCAGATGCATCTTTTGCTGGTTGATTGCAGTGAAGCAGGTTGTGCACATCACACAGTGTCTGGATTTGGAGAGTCCTCTGTGTTGCACGTGGATGTGATGGTGCATGAGAAACTGTGTTTGCAAAACACTTTCCCATAATGCGGGGAGGATACTGAAGCTACAGGAAGAAAAAACCCTGACACAACCAAGGGCTTTATTTTAATATTCTAGTGTGAAAGTGGGCAGGAAGGAGTAGGTAGTGCCACACAGCTAGCTTAACTGTTAATTAGTCCTGCTCTAATTGTGACAGAGTAAAACGTCTTCCTTTGTCATCACTTTGCAGTTGCCTCCTGTTCAGTCAGTAATCTCTGGTGATTTCTGGGTAGCCAGGGTTGAGCAAGGAAGTGCCCTCTGCAACTTTTATTTTGTTTCTTCCAAAGCAGCTGGAGGAGTTTGACGGGGGCCATACAACCAAAACTCCTTGTCTTGTCTTGAGGGAGGCTTTCTCTGCTGCTCGCCACCCTTCGTGCTGGAGCCCCATCAGCACTTGCTTGCAAAACTGTAGGTGCAAGGTAACCTCTTTCTTTTGAGTGCTGCAGGTTGTGGAGCATCTGTGGGCACAGATGGGTTTGGGGAGGGTGGCTGGCAGCAATGGTGTCTTTACCCAATTTACCCTCAGCAAAAGTGGTATGTGGAACTGTGTCTGGACTGAAATACCATTTGATCTTTACTCTCTCCTTTGGCTCTTGTGACGCAGCCAAGATAAATGTGCTTGCTCACTCCTGAAGAACTAGGGAAAAGGCTTCCCTGCTCAGGTCTGCGCTCCAACCATCTCCTCCCCATCCCTTTCCTCTAGTATAAAACAAATCCACCTGGCAGTTTCCTCTGCTGACACTGAACTTTGTTCTGTTTCCTGACGTGGGCTTTCCTACCTTTAAAAACACAATTCGTAGAACTTGCATAAGTTGCTTTCCCAATGTGATCATTTGATCCAACTGGTGAGATTACTTTATACGTGCTATTGTTGAGAGTGAGTCACGAGCCCTGCAGTGACAGGTGCAAGGCTGCCAAGATTGTTTTTTTCATAGTTTGAAATTTCATACATCAGAACAAATAATTACAGACTGCTCATAATCTCTTGCTGCTTCTCCCCAAGTAAACATTCAAGTCAGTTGTGTGCTGTTGATGGCTCACAGAATCCAGGAGGGGAAGAGGCTTCTCTAGGGCCACAAGTCCAAATTGTGGCTGAGTTTGAGTTACAGCAGCAGATTATTGTAATATTATTGCTTAGTTATCAGCCACTTCTGGGCCTCCAGTTCTTCCTTTGCAAGGAATAACTTAGAGTTACGCTTAATTTTCCTTTCTGTCCATGCTGTGTGGAGTAGGAGTTGGGGAGGTTCAGAGTTAAAGATGGGGTTGGATTTTTCTTCTTGAAAAATCTGGCTCTGGCAGTGCATGTGCAAGTCTGCCAGTAAGGTTCAGTAACCACTTTAGGGAGCTGGTAGGTCTGTCTTTGAGGCGTTAGCAAGTACTCTGGATCTTGCTGCATGGTTGCTTATGAAATGCATCTGTTTACTTGCTTTCATGGGTCATCCTTAGCATCTCTCCATTCTAGCTAACTCCAAGCTTTGTAGGAGCAAGCTGATAAAATGCCTGCAAGGATTGTGCAAGCCCTGGTTGTGTAACAGGGCTGTATGCATAACCACTGGAGGTAAGAGGAGCAGCTTGTGTTACAAAGGGAAAGAAAAATCCTGTGTCAAGTGTCTTCTGTTTATGTTGACCATATTGGGGTGGGAGTGTGGAGTTGGAGAGCTGCAGTTTTTGCAACTCAGGATCAGCCTTTCAGCCTTTTAACCCACTTATTCCCTGCACAGCTTGTCTGTTGCCCTGTGGCCTTGTGTCCCTTTTTGGCATGGGGACATCTGCTTGGGTACTGGATTGATGTTCTGGGATCTGCTGGTGCATGCATTTGTGTGTGATTGCAGCAGGCTCGGCTGGGTGGCTGTCTGTATTTCACAAATGTTTAAAAAAGTTAAATACAATTTAGATTGCCTTACCCGTAGCAGGCAGGGAGATTCATAGGGGGATTGCACACACTTCTAATGAGGCAGCCAGATGTGAAGCCTGGGTCTGGGATCAGGAGGACAGCTCTCTTGCTGAGTTACCACGTAATGTAAGGATTGTGCAGTAACACCTCCTTCCCATACAGCAACGTGGGTATGTAATGTCTGAAAAGCTCTCACATCCTCAGAGGAAAGCTACCTTATAAATACAAAAAGTCCTTGTTCTATACAAACAGTGCTTGGTTTTCTTTAGGTAAATAAATCTCCAAAACACACTATTCCAATTGGAGGTCTTCACAGTTCTTAAACCTGTGCAAGATCTATTTAACCGTGTCCCTCTGCTGCTCTTCCAGCTGTTAGTTTCAAAGGAAACCTCCCAAATGAGAACAGATTTGGAGAGTTTTGCTGTCCAAACTCTCACTGGTAGAAGAGGTCAAAGTCTGGTTACCAAGCTGATCTGTAGCACTCCCCTCCATGTAGTGACTGCAGGCAAAACCACAGCTTGTCCCTCAACAAAGGCAGGCAGGGGGCAAGTAAACAGCCTGTTTGGAGGAACTGAACTTCCAGCTGAGGCTGTGGCAGCATTGGGTACAACACTTGCAGAAGAAGCTGATGGAAAAAATGCCATTTTCCCCTCTTGATGTTAAAAAAAACATCTTCAGCAGGACCCGAACCATGCAAAATATGTGCCTGAAGGGGTTGCTTCTGAGGTTTTGCAGGGCAGCTCTCTGAGCAGTTGGTTTGACTGAGTCGTGCCCACAGTAGTTGAACAGGGTGATGTAAAACTCCTGAAGCCTTATCCCAACTCCTGAATATTGGTGGTGTTGAGACCCCTGTTCCTCTTCAAACAATGCCTGAAGCATGATGCTCTGAATTTTTCCCTCCTTGTTAGGGGACACTGGGGAATGGGATTAGTTAGCAGGGGGTTCAGTTTACCTGCCATTCTCAGGTTTTGTTTATCCTGTAATCCTGAACACTTGTTTTTTCTGTGCTGGCTCATGTTAATCTGCGTGAAGGAAGGTGTTCAGGTGCCTAAGCTGATGAGATGCCCCATGTCCTTGTTTAAAGGTTGAGAAATGAGCTTTTATCTGGTGACAAGCAGTGCGCAAATTCCGTAACTCTGGGTTGCTTTCTTTTAAGGCAGCTTGGCAAGTTTGAATTGATTTTTGTGTCGGATAATGCCTCAAGTCCTTTGGTCTAGTGCACTGGACTCACTGCATAGCCCCGCCTTGGCATACCGGTAGGGTAGAGTTGCTTTCTGCCTCAGTAAAACCGTTCCTCTTTTGTTCTCTTCCTGCTTTTACAGCTGAGTTGCTGTCCTTGAATAAGACCTATTGGCCAGAAAAAATCCAAGCATGACAGTGAAAGTTCAAATATGCAGTATTTCAAGCTCCAGATTGACTGATGCACACTCTGCTTCATGCCTAAAATAGAAGTTCTGCTGACGTCTGAGCCGGTGTGTCAAGGTCTGGCTAGAAGAGACCTTGCACAGTGAGAGTAATTTGTTCTGTTTCACCAAAAAAGCAGCTTTTCTTACCCCTGTTCGAGGTGCTGCTGCTGCCAAGTCTTCTGTTTAGAGTAGAGTTTCTGAGTTGCTGGAAGTGCTGAGAGGCCCGTGGAGAGTCACTTGCCCGCTAGTGTGTGAAAAAGAGACTCTGCCTGCTTTCTACACTTCTTTACTGAGCTGGTGATGGTTAATGGGAAGTTGTGGGATGTGTTGGGGTTTTTTTTAGATATGTGGGAAGAAAGTGATATGGAAGTGCTAGGCATAGTGAGCCTTCACATGTAGTAAAAGCCAAACTTTGTTCTTGCAGGCAGTGGTGAAAGTCAGCCCTGGATCACCACCCCAGGGGAAGCGCGCCTTTGCCTGGCTGTGTGCAGTGGCCACTTCGTTTCATAGTGAGCACCAACACGGGTGCTCGGGCTGGGGCTGCTGGGGCAAGGAGGCTGTGAGGTGTCCCACCACACCTGCCTTCCCCAGCGCTGCCCCTGGGTCCCCAGGAACTCACCTGTGGGATGAGCCCAGCCAAAGTGGGGTGCCTGCACAGACCAGACCAGGCACAGCCGCTCATCTGCCCAGACCAAAGGCCTCTTATTGAGGGGAAATGTGATCTCTCCGTGGCAGAGCTACAGAGAAAAGGCTAATCCAAGGGCTGTTGAAGGCAATGTTAAATAACCTGGATCTGAGCACCAACTTCAATGGTCTGCTTTTGTTTTGGAAAGGACCACTTTCCTTGCCAGGTCTCCTTTTACTAAAAGGAAGGGGAAAAGAGCTAATTTGAGTCTTGCTGAGGCCAGTAACTGGCACAGGCAGATGTAAACAGAATTTCTTATTCTAATCAGTTGCATTCATACCCGAAGAGGAATGAGGGAAGATCTGGTTTTAGCCCCAAGGGTCTCCTGGCCTAATACTCTAGCATGCAAGAAAGTCTTCACTGCAGTGGGATTCAGAAGAGACTGGGCACAGGTATCTGGGCAGAAATACCATCTCCACTGCAGCCGTGCTCTCTTCCTACTGCTGCTGACCATCCTCCTTCCTCATGGGCTTGTGTTTGTGGGGCTCCTCTTCCTGACACACGTTAGTAACCCGCCTGTCTCGTATCTTTAGTGGGTGAAAGAAGAAAACCCTTTTGCTGGTCACGAGGCTGCGTTCCTGTTTGTAAGCAAGTCTGTGCCTTTTCCAGTACCACCATCGTGCAGAGCAACAGGAGCTTGCTGCAGCTTCCTTTTGGTGCTGATGTCTGTGTGAGCTCTTGACAAGCTTTGCAGATGCTATGGGAATAGGGACCTGTGAGAGGGCTGCCAAGTGGTTTCCTTTTTTCATCCCAGGTGTTTTAGTTGATTTTTAAGATAGTTTCTATTTATTTGACTGTTGTTTCTAAAGCTCAGGCTGCAGGTCAGTGCTGTACAAAGAGAAGGAGCGTCCATTTGCTTTGGCTGCTCATTTCCACGCTGTGTGTCTCCTCTGGCCCAAAGCTGTGCCATGATGCCAGTGGAACTAACTGATCCCTGGTTTAAAACTGGGGGTTTTTTTAAGGCTGCTTTTTGAGGCTAATCCTGTGCCTGATCTGTGTTGTGCCGTGGTCCTGTGCAAGGATGGTCAGCACAAGATAAAGGGTGATCCGTGGGGCAGGCCATGCATGTGGTGGGGAGGTTTGGTCACAGGCACCTAGGGAATTCGGGTTGGTCCCTCTTGATCAGAAGGTAGATCAGTGGTAGATCTCATGGTAGTGCTGACGTGCCTGGCCATGCGGAGCTTCCAGCACTAGAAATCGTGACAGCTGTGCTTCCGCTTTGTTCACTAATGCAGTGCATGTGCTGAGTCAGTGACACGAGGGTCATCATGTGGCTGCAGAGAGCACTTGGCTCTGCCAGCAGTGCCCCTTTGTCCCCTTCCCTGTCGTAGCTGTGTGGGTCTTCTGCTGGGAGCCTGAGCTGGAGAAAGCCAATCTGAAAGAACCAGTGGCTTTTTGAGTGTGTGTTGTTCTTAGATGTGGTGGTGACTTGCA